AAGATGCTGGTGGCGCCCCCTCGCCTAGATGGAAAAAGAAAACACTTAGTGACCTGACCTGCCAAGGACAAACTGCCAGGCCCCACTGAGAGGAACCACACCAGATGTCCACCTGGATCGCTCCTGGACTCCACAATACCTCCAGCCCCTCTATTTCAACGACCTCAAGGTCACAATAGAGAATCCCAGCTCTTCCCCCACAAGTCCCTAGCCCACCCAAAGGGTATAAACGGCCTCAGCCCTTCAAACTGTGGCTTCCGGACCCCTCTCTTGGGCCCAGAACCTCGTTCAGAGTGTATAATAAAGCCACGTGGTTTGGCCCCCACTCTTTCTCTCTCTGTGTCTGTCTTTTCTTTTCGCCGCTGCCGAAAAACCTTACATATTCTCTTATTTACGTGATCACTTTATGATGTCACCCCTGTGTAAATGTGCATCAGGCTTATGGCCTAGATGGATTTGGGGAATAAAGGGACATACTGTTCAAATGTCATCCAGACACAACTCCACCTGAATGACAGAAACACGCCATAAGCTATTACATCTTGTCCTATATGAACTCTCTGAGAAGTTTAAAGGATATTACAATTGAACACCACATCAAGGTGATGCACATATTTGTTTAGAAAAACCAACTGACCTCCAGGAAAAGATGTGCAGACAGGCTGGTGCTGAAACAAAGAATCCCAAGGGGAGGTTCTACCCGGGTTTTTCCCACACAACCCTACAAATTATGGGTAAGTCGTGAAACCTACAATTTCAATTGTGTCTTTAAACTTATTTGTTTAAAGACATTGCAGTTATGCTAGCGCGTTTTTTCTTGCCTGTATTATGCCACTGAATCAGGGAGCACAAAGCAAATGTCAGAGAGCTGGCAGCTTTGAGAGCTCTTGCCACAGGCATGACAAGGGTCTCTTCTGTTTTAGGCACAACAATTTTCTTGGATATGGTACATAGTAGACACTTAAAGAACTTAAAGGATATTAATGAATAAAAGAGAATAAAATGTAGATTATATTAAAAATGTGGTGTTGTCCGGTAGATAACAAAAATGTTTTTCAGGTAATTCTTGGTAGGTGAGGC